CTGTTTTCAGTTCAACGGTCTGAGGGACCCCAGAAGCCCACCACTCAATAAAACAATTGGTGGTGGGGCGGGCCAAAGGCCTGAGGGTCGGCAACGCTGACCCCTAAGCCCTGCAGAAAGAAAGAAAAGAGAGAGAGAGAGAGAGAGATGAGGGTGGCTGCAGCAATTTGAGCTAGCTCTTTCAAATTTCTGTGCCCTGGAATCCATCTTTGTCTCTGGGCATGTCCTGTCCCCCTCCGTTCTTGTCACCCCTGCTGACAAGGTTGAATGATCGTGGCGAGACGGCGCCTTATGATCAGCTTGTTTTGCAAATTGCAGTAGGCCTCCCCTTCCGTCCAACTCTGAACCCACCTGAGCCCGTTGCCATAGGCCCAGCTGACTGATGTAGATGTTCGTAAACCCTAGAAGTATAACCGTCTCTGGATGACCACTCGTCGTATGGAGGTGTCGATGAGGGCCAACACCTAGCGAGACATGTTGGGTGCAGCGCTGAAAGGTGTAAACATTGGGTCAGTTTCCGGTTTTTATCAGTCAGCGTCTGGCACTCAGCAGTTAAACCTGCATGCCATAAGACAGACCCCTGCATGCCCACTTTGGAATCAAGCAATGCGGGAGGTAAGGACCCCAAACCTAACTCAGATGCCTCGAAAGATTGTCCCAGCTTCATCTTCCAGCAGAAACCCTAAAGACTCTTTGCTCGCACCGCTGGGGCCCGGAAATGTGAAGCATAGGACTAGACCCAATGACACTCAAGGCAAAAGTCATTCAAAAGCAGATAAATATAGCAGAGGCCTTGCATGTCCGTGCTCGCACATCGCAAAACAAGTGAACGAGGGTCTAGCTATGGCATGTGGACTGAAAGTTCCCGTGGCGGCTTATGCAGAAGACCCGGCTCCGTGATTGTTCAACTATGCGATCATCTAAGTCGTGCGGTAACCACGAGGCTTGGGCGCCCAAGAAATAAGCAGATAGAACCTTCGCTTCTGTGGGGCAGGGCCCAGCTCCCCACGAGTCCAACGAAGTCCTCGCCCCTTCCGGCCTTGCTTCAAGTCTGTCCCATCTCTGATGCGACAGCTTCCGAGGTTGAGAGTGACGATGAAGATGTGAGCTTTGGCCGCGTCTGAGACCGCGACAGAACGCCAATATTCAGCAAGCATCAGAACCGAAGGAAGTCTTGGTCGTTCCTAAAGGTTTGTTTGCAATAGCCACCATGCGCGGGCTTACCCAAACGATACACTGGAGTGGCAGGTCGTTCGGCATTTGACCGAAATGGCATGAAATGACTGGACGCAGGGCGGATCAGTAGAGTTGGCCGATACCTGCCCCTCTGTCAGTAGGCAGACCTCTCGTCGATGCAGGTGCGAAGTATTCGGGCGCAAGAAGCCAGACATTGTGCTCTACGCACGGCTCCCAATGAACCGTGAACGAAGTCAATAGAGCTGCAAGATATTGAATGGGAAGGACGGGAAAGGTTGCAAATACACGAGCACTTGCCCGAGTTGATGCCCCCTCAATGTCGTGCTGGCTGCTGGGTCTATAGCCGCTGCCTGCTCACAACAGGCCTATGGCCGCCCAAAGCCATGATTTGACGTCCTGCGCTGCCGGCCGAGGCGTAATGTATAAGACCCCAACAAAGTGGTTTCGCATCTGAAGGCTCGATGGACCACAACACCGACCCTTTACATGCTCGATCCCTGGTCATGAAAGGGCTGTGGCACTGCTGGACCCATTGTTCCGTGGCTCATAGTGGCTCGAGCATCGGGCTGCTGCCGGAGGCGGGGCCTCCCGTTGGATGGACTCTTGGACCGCAAGGCATTGCCCACAGAAAAGGCAGGTCTTGATATACCTCAGACGCGTTGTTGGAGCGTGAGAGAGGAGTCGCGGGCTGCAGGCAACGGAATCGCAGAACGGTCGCTTCGTGAAGTTTGGTAAAGGTGCCACAATGTAGCTAAGCCAGCTAAGCAATGACAAACCAGGCTACAGGCGGCATGCTTAAGGTGCATGGCAGTGCCACCGCCGCCAAAGTCGGACTTCGGCACAGGCTGGGGCCTCGGATGCTTCTCAGCGAAGCCTCGCAGCGACAATCAACAATCATCAATCGTCGTAGTCGTCTTTGCTTCCAAGGCCCAGGTTGTCACGTTGCTGCTTCAAACCGTAAAATCTATATACATGACCAAGACCACCTCGCTTGTGGGTATAGTCCTTGCCATGCTAGCGGGAAATGGCCCTTTCGAAGCACTGCCTCGCGGACACAGCCAAGCAATGCATACTGTAAGGCAACAATGACCTCTACAAGCTGGCATTTTGAGCACCACAGTGGATATCACTTCTATTTGATAATGTTTGGATCTTGGCGTCACTCTCCAGCTCAAGAACTACTACATCATTTGTGGTTCATTGTGATTCCACTTACTGTTCGCAGTTCGCGACACCCGCATCGGCAAGGGAACTGTGGAATTTCGGATGTTGTGGAATGAGGCCACTTTGGAATTATGCAAGTCTGGATTTGTGAATTGATGAATCTGTGTATTTGTGGACTTGTTGCACGTGGGGATTTATGGAACTGGGATTGTGCAATGGTGGAAGTTGAGAAAGTGTAAGGATGCAAGCTCGTAAGAACAATTACTTACTGGTATATGTTTGTCAGGTTGTTGATTTCAAAGCACGCGCACACGCCCACGCCTCTCCCCGTAAAGGCGGGATTCGGTCATGACATCGTGCATACTAAGGCGAAGCTCCGGGCGGGGCCCATATCTATTTCGTCTAGGGATGGATACATGACTAGATTGCCACCCCGCTTCAGCATCGGTTCTCGGATGTGTGTGTTGTGGTCTAGACCTAGAGGGTCGCTTTCAGAACAGGAAGGCTGCCAGCTGCGCGAAAGGGGAAGGCCCACCGGCTTTGTTCGGCAACTGAAGGGTTCGAGGGACTTCCATATTGTCGGATTAAGTAGAGGAGATCTGTTGGCTGGGAGCTTCAGCGCCAAGGACTCCAAACGGGTAGGTTTGGCGAGACAAGTTGTGCTGAATCTACGTGTTCTGTCGGTTTCGAGCATGCCAGGCAACAAACTGGTTTGGCCCACCAGTCGGAAGCAACAACTTAGTGCTGTCATGCGGAAGAGTCCCGGCCGTATTGAGTCTGCCAGGCAAAGTGACATTGGATTATTTTCATGTGCTGTAGCTGATCTCAAAACAGAAAACAGAAACAGACAGGTTGATCCGAAGCTAGTTTACTTGCGCAAGAGGGCTAAGCTGTCAGATGCAACAACAATCAAAGCCGGCAGCGACTGTAGCACCGAAAACTGCACATGCTTCTCGATAATGTGGCAGATGATCAGGTGGCTTCGACACTGCAGCCGTTACCGAATCGTCACCTCAACCTTGGATAGCATGTCATTCACATTGGCTCTTTGGCCAGTCTGGCACCATAGTGGTTTGACCTGTAGAATCGTCTCGCTGCCTTCACCGTGGCCTTCGATAGGCCAGACCCAAGGAGACCGCAGGGAAAGTCGTCGAGAAGGCATCCAGCGTGGGTAGCATCAGGAAGGGCATGTTTGGACCTTTGGGCCTTGCCGGTTCGCGTGGTTTGGGGCCGCGGGCCAAAGAAGTCGCGAGAGGAAAACAAACGGGTGGGAAGGCATTGTGTGGGGCCAAAGCGAGTTGCCTCCCTCCCTGGTGTGGCGTGGGCTCATGGGCTTCTTGTGCAATCGAGGCTTAAGCGAAATGCTTCGGGGTCAACTGAACTCAGACACACGCAGGGACTTCAACAGTAACTATTCAATAGAAGTAGTGACAGATGCTGCTCTTCTCTACGTGATGCCAAGGCCATGTTGAAATCCATGTCTATGCTGACGGGTACTCTCATCATGATCGCCACCCACGACCGATCACTTTAGAGTCTCAGGAGTCTCTAGAGACTTCATCTACCTGGCATGCCGCTGATGAGGACTACAGTTTTTGACTATGAGCATGGTCATTGATGAAGCCTTCGTGTCTCATAGCCACCCAAGAGGTGTCGTGAAGCGGGACAACACAGCAAAGGCAGAACTGAGCAGAACTGACCATCAAACTGGGCCAGATCGAGCTCCGAAGTTTCCAAACCCGGATAAACGACCTCTCACAAACTCTCTTTGCGCCGTGTGAAGAGACCAGGTGTCACCTCTCTGGAAGACTCGGCTCTGTGAGTTTTGGCAGGCTGCTGATGCCACTTCGCGAGCCTTGTAGATTTCATGGAATTTACTGGGTTTCATGAAGCATCTTCGAGTGCTGCGGTGCGCTGAGACTTAAAGCCGTGTAAGCCCTTGCGGGATTGTGGCGTGGAAATGGTACTTCCGGCAGGAAAAGAGGATTCCCAAGGGTCATGATGCGCAGTAGCTCCCCCCCACGTCCAGCTGCGTCTCTCTGTTCATGTCTCAGTTTTGATGCCTGAGCACCTGGGGATGGACTCTCGAGTCGGGAGTGTGAAGGTTGGAAAATGCCGCAAGGGCTCACTTTGTTCCTTCGCACACGGCCAGGCGCGGCTGTTGTAGGAAAAGAAATCTTGAACAGAGAGAAAGCCATCATGGATGCATGAGGACGACCTGCGACCCTCCCCGGACTTCGAGTGCACGTCGGTGTGTCCAGCTCGGAGCTGAGTGTGTTTCGGCTTTGGGTACAGTCTCTTCGGAGCTTTGAGCCTCTAGATGCTTTGCGATCGCTCAAGCCAGTTCCACGATTCGGGGCTTCCTAGCCCAACTAAGCCCATGCCCGATGCTTGCAGATGTCCCGAAAGCGATCAGTGCTAGAGTTGTATTCGCTTTAGTTTGATGGTGCCACAAGTGGGCCGGCTGAGAAGTAGCAGCAGCAGAAGTAGTAAGTGTAGTCCCGGACAGGAATGCAACACACTTTAATTTGTAGACTCGGCCTTTTCAAATGAACCTGGAGCTCCCTCTAAGACCCTGAGACTCTTAGACCGCGACCTGGCGCGAGCTGCGAGCTTGAGGTTTTCCTGCACACCGGGAAATGTGACGCGAAGGGCTGCCGCTATGCGCACTCCGTTCAGCAGCTCCGGGTACAGCGGCCTGAAAGCAGGAAGAGAAAGCGAGAGAAGTGTCTCAGTGGTCTTGGAGTGTCTTAGGGTGGGCTTGGAGAGGGAAGGAGGAAGGGCTGCTGCTCGAGCCATGGTCTAAATTTGTAGGATCGGTCGGATCAGCTAGACTACTTTGGACATTCTGGCCCAGAATTTCGGCAGATCTGGACAGTCTCGTATGCTCAGGCCCCATCTGCTGAAGAGCAAGATGTGCAGCTTCCACATGCTGGGTTTCGAGCTCGGCCAGCTTTGAGGACTTCACATAACAGTATTTCGGAAATTCATCTGCAGCATCGGCGTCAAAAGCCTGCAGCGTGGCATCGCCGACGTTCCGAGGTCGCTGTGTTGTGGGTCCAGCTTGCCGCTTCGCCCACAGTGAAGAGGCCGGGCTTCGAAAGGCAACGTGAGGAGTTGAGGTTCGGAAAAACAACACTCCGGAATATCGTCTAACGCAGGTCGGCAGGCAAGCAGGCAGTGGACCCCCTAAACCTGCTCCCTTTGGAAGAAGCCCTTCGTGTTGTTTGTGCCGGGTTCCATCCAAGGCATCACGGGATTGAGCCATTTTTGCGATCATTGCGCACATGTTGGACACTACTTATCGTAGGACCATACTGCTTTACCATCAGTGCCACGCCGCAGCCTGGAGAAGCCTCGAAGGTCCAGGTCTTGAGGCGACTAGCGGCTAGCGGTAGTGTGATGTGCAGTGGGGGCACAAGAGACACCCCCACAAGAGGCTGCAGGACATCACAGGGGACTCCTCGCAGTCTGAGAGTGTTTGAAAGTCCTGTCCGGAGGAACTTCAGGAGGCTCAGGCCGCAGCCTCAGAGGAACGCTGGAAACAGCGGGGTGGCAGTGAGAAAAGCGGTGTTGAATCTCAGGTCACCAGAGGTTTTTTCCCGAGTACCTTTTTGGGTAGTCCGAGTTTCAGGCTTGTGTTTGTTGTGGACGGTGTGAAGGACAAGGTTGGCTGTCAATTCTGGTCTGCGTCCTCCATTTTTCCTAAGGCAGTAGCTGCAGCAGTGATGAAGCGGGCCCGGCCCTGAGGTATGCGAGCCAAAGCCTCAATCAGTTTGAGATTTGCCGATTTAAGGTGCAAGGCATGGCCTCCGAGAATGCGCAGGAGCGCCCTGCAGGGCTTGATACGGGAGTCAGGAATCCGAGCGCCGAATCCCGCAACTTCCAGGGTCGCCAAGGGATCCAAGGACAATCTCAGATGTGTGGTGTTCCTCTTATGTAGCTCACACTCGCTGTGAAGCATGAGCACAGCGAAAGGCTGCGGTACAAACGGTTGCGCCGCGGCCTTCCATCTTGCAATGGTTCTGGGAGGAGATGTCAAGTGTACTTAAGTAGCATAGTATTAGTAGCAATTAGTATATCGCTCCGAAGCAGTGCAAATACCAGCACAAACACACATGTCTCATTGATTGAGAAGTCTGCGTTTTTGCATCAGAACGCATTAAACCTCGAAACATGCTTCGGCAGCTGCCAGGCAGAGTGATTTCAAGTGCTCATACATTGAGTTGCGTTCGGTCTCTTCATCGACCGGAATTTGTCGGGAAGAGTTAGCAACTCGAGAAATTTGAGCTTTCGACGTTGCTAGAAGGTCAACAAAGTTGGAAGAAGCAGGAACATCGAAGGAGCATTCTGCCTCGTTAAAACCAGGACGCAGAGGCTCTGGATTACATGACGATGTGATGCTTTTGCAGCGGACCCATGAAAACACGAGGAGTCTATGGTTTTATTTGCTCGGCAGCATGTGGAACAGGCACGCGGACGGGTACTCACATGGTGCAATCGGATGGCGGCAATCTATTTTCTAGGCTGCTCTTGAACTGAAGCAGTTTTGGAATATTCACAAAACGAGGCCGGCACAGTTCCTGACTTTGTCCTGTTTAACTTGCGGTTTTGTTTTTTCATGTTTTTTTCAGGTGTGCTTCGGGTTTCCGTTTTGCCGGCGTGTCTGTCATATGAGTATTGAGAGCAGACAACCAGCAGACACACCCAGATGGGAGACAAACTTGACAGCACCGAAAGCTTAGCGGGCCTAGCGACATAGTGCAGCTGGCACATCGCATGTACATGCCGCTTGTTGTGGAGACTTAGACAAGAGTACAGGAGTACAGTCTGTATAGGATTGTATAGGTTGCATGAGCAAGGACCTTGGCATTGGTTGGAGATTTAGACCAGAGTACACAGTCTGCATACGCAAAGTGCCCGTAGCCAGAACGACTGTTGGAAATGCACGGCAAGTGTTCAAGCTTTGGGCATCACGGTGCCAAGTGACCAAGTGACGGAATTTTGCCCCGCACCCCTTCCCCGCCAACTGCAACAAACCCTGCGCGCACCAAACTGCGCGTGGACAAGTCCTTGGAAGGAAGAACAAGAAGTTGAGCATAGGTTCCCTATTCTTGACCGTACAAGAAGATACAGATTCAATAAGTAAATAAAATATCCCTCAACCCTTCGGACAGAGCCGAAGCTAGGAGCTGCTCAAAACCTCGCAACCTGCACCGCGACCTCGTCCACCGGGAGCCCTCGAGTGCCTCAGACGCAGACTTCGTCTCAGGGCACGCAGCTTCGCTCTGCTTTGTAGTTAGCCTTAAGATGGTTAAGATACATTTGCCAGATGATGCTACAGCATCGCATGCTGTATCATGTTGTCACATATTCGGCAATGCGGCATGTTATGATCAACTGTACGGCCCTTGGTGAGTTTCGGGCTCATACTGCTATGGGGTTGGTAAGTTCAGGATTTGTTGTTTCGCCGCTTGCGGTGACCCTTGGAGCCTTGGTGGAATCCATTCCTCAAGTAGAACTTCATGATGATCGGTACCCTGCCCTACCCATCTGGCAAAGGAGATGCAGTGGATGTGTCATGCTCGTGGCTACCACACGTGAGACTGTCACACTGAGGAAATTTATGAATCCCACGGCTCCTGACGAGCCCAAGTTCGTCAAGCTTGAAATGGAGGTTGTAGAGATGGAGGCGCAGCCTCAGGAGGCGCAACAGGCGCAGCGCCGCTTTGCAGGTATATCGGCTGTGAATACATCATGTTGTCGCTGATGTTCAATTGCAAGATTCAGGCTTTCAGGCTTCAAAGCTGCATGTCCTTGCGAGTTGGGCGTTCTGGGGCAGAATGCCGGGAGGTTGATCTTGAAATCCCAGAGGCCCGCACTGACAGAATACTATGGCCCACCCATTGTTCCGCGCTCCCCACAGACCCGGCAAAGCGGGAACCAGCTTGAACTGACCTTACTACATGGTTGTCACCCACAAGTGCATGAATGCAAAACGGCACGCGAAGGTGCGGCCCAGCCGACGAGCATCCCTACCAGGGGAATCGCACATGATAGATTGGGGACTCCGCAACCAGAGAAGACTGGCGATGGGATCGTGGACCAACTAGATAGGAACCCCTCGGCTCGTTACTGTAGTGACCACAAAAGCTGACTTTATGGTCCTCATAGAGAATCATATGACCCCATATGATAAGGTAGGAATATCCCTCACAGTCCTTGTAAATTAATTGCCTTACAGAGTGGGGCTGGGAGTCCGACGGCTCCTGTAGGCCGATGGAGACTCTGCAAGGCCCAGGCTCCACCGCTGGCATTTCTTGGGCTGGAAGTTTGTAGGTTTAGGGTCTACTGTAGTTTTTTTTGTTTTTGCCTTTTTTGTCGCGTCCAGGCACAAGTACAAGCTCATGGTTCAAAATGGGTTAAAGGTTTGGCAGGAGTCAGAGCGTTTCTTTGTGAGTGGGTGAAGTCTGCTGAACTCATCATGTCAGCATGCTGCTTCAATGTTGCAGACCATCTGCTGTACAGATTTGCAGTCAGCATACGGCAGCCAACGTCTTTGTAGTCTCCGTCGCCTTCAACCGACTGAATGGGCTGCAACTGAGAATCGGCTGAGACATCCTTGCATTGAGGGTGTGATTGACCATGCGCTTCGTTTAGTTGGAGTCTTCCTGTTGGCATCGGAAACACCGCATCGTGAGCCGACCCATCCCAACTTCCACACGTTGCAGCGTTACCTTCGACAGAAGCCTCCCCAAGCTTGATGCAACCGCAAATACGGCGCCGTGGCCTGGCAGGTCTGAGGGCATAAGTCTCGCTGATATCCCCGACACGCCCAAAGCGGAAGAACCGCTCAAGGCTCGGGGATCGGGAGGGCCCCAGATTTGAGCCATGCCTGCGCTAGGTTTCGGCAGGTGCAGTACACCGATATGTACTTCTTCACAGAGGTGTCGTATGAGATGTGAGTGATATGAGGTTGTCATTGCAGCTTCCTGGGAGCATGACTTGCTGGAGGAGCTCTGACCAGCCGGAGCATGCAGCTGATCGCAAAGCACGTTCTACAGTTCCAAGAACCACGTGAATTCAGATTATTGGTTGTTGCTTATCTATGCTTACGAGAGGTAGAGCCCTTCATAACGCCCAGAACTTGACAAGTCCCCCAGAGAAAAAAGAGAGAGGGAGGAGCACAGCCATGGTTGAGCGGAAGGTCGAGGCAGTGACTGCGGGGTTGAGGCTTGAGTTCGGGATGCAGGCAGGGAAAAGGCAGGTGAGGTTGGTTTACTGTAAAAAAGGGGAACCCGCTGTGAGGGGCACACCTTTTGCAGTCTTAGCTACGGTTCTGTTTGCTACCTGCCCCCACGGTGGCGTACACCCCGTACTCGCTTTCACCCCAACAACCCAACGTACAGACACCCCATCCCAACAACATGTTGGAAGGGGTGCGCCTGGAGCGCGGGGTGTGGGGTCTGCCCACACCTCATCCCCGGAGCAAAGCAAAGCAAAGAGCACAGACATGGCGAAAGAAAGGAGGTATGGAGGTAAAGACTTTGATTAGGAGAGCCATGGCAGGAGCCTCCCGAACCTGTCAGCTCTCTGAAGAATCGCGTGACGGCACCAGGTGTCTTGGTTGCACAGATCCCAGCCGCCATGGCAAACACAATGGGGTTCGAAGCAGCCTTGGGCAAAGCCTTTTGCTAAGGCTGATTGATGCATACATGGTTTATGAACTGTTTATGATGGCTTATGCCAGCGAGAGTTGGCGCAAGCGGCAGAAGGGTAAATATAGGCAAGGCTGGGAAGCTTGGGGTGCAATCAGGCGGTGTCGAGATGAACTCAGGCCTGACAGCTATTCGTGACGTCTTGCTTCATCAATTGCTAGCATGTTTCCATTCCAGAGCTATCGACAGTAGGCGAGCAATTGCTAAACGAGTGTACTGTTCAAAATACAAGCGGGCCACTCCATGACTCCATGACAATGATCCTGTTGCTTTGGCGACCGTGCCTGATGTCTTGAGGTGGTGGTTCGCTCTAGGACTCTAGCAGATGTAGAGTGTTGCTTGACGAACCTGTTGCAGAGGAAATTCCCGAAGCTCTGCAGCAACACATCCAGCTGCTTAGGCACAGCCAGTGCCGTGGAACACTTAACAGACGACTTCGTATCAAAGAATCGGGTAAGAACGCCGCAGAAAGAAAGCAGCAAAGAAAACTATGCTTCATTCCATTAGAACAAATTAACAATTATAATTCCCCTGCTCAGGAAACCCCACACGCCCGCCAGTGCAAGCGAAGCGCTCTCGAGCGTGAAGCCAAGCGCTGCATTCGTGAGTCCGCCTCTTCAGATCGTAGCATTGGCGACCTGGAAGGGAGGAGTTCGAGTTCCTGTAGTAGGGGAAGATTTGAAACTCAAGTCCTGGAACTTTTCGAGGCCAGGCGAGTGCGGCGGCCTGAGCTGGATGGAATGAGCTGCCAAGTGAAAGCGGGTGGCTGTTCGGCTTCTTAGAGCGATGAGACTGTGGCAGAGAACTTTGCTTCGGGGTGCGCTCGTCATCTCGCCGACTCTCGAGCCCCCTTCGGGACTGCAGAATGGTGGACACCATGGCAGACCTGGAAGAGTTCCCCACCGAGATCATCTCGCCGGCAGCCCAAGTGCCGAGTCAGCTCCGTGTATTCTTGACAACACAAGTAACAGTTGGATATGCACAAAAAGCCATAAGCTGTGCTTCCACATGCTGTTTCAGCAAACGACGACAAAGATGGCTCATTCGATATGATGGCTTCGGACCACAGGACAGGTACACAGACAACAACATAACAGACTGGCCAGACCACTAAGCGCTTGTATGAGCTTGCCTGTGCTCTGTGGCATGTCATGTCAGAGCTTGCTTGCGTCTGCGACACACAGCGCTACATCCTGACGTCTGACAGTCCGTCAGATCGATACACATCGATACCATGCGCTCCAAGCACATGGGGACTGCAGCAGAACTATAAAAGCCCAAGCCCTCAAAGGCGCCGCCGCTAAGCCACCACTCTACAACATGACCTGTTTAAATGATTCGAAGTTCAGGGAATGTTGAAGTTAGCCCGCATGATACCACGATAGTACTCATTCAGTGCACTTTGACAAGTATCGCATCATATAGTTTGTACTGCATGCAGTCAACAAGTGCGTAACACTCCACAGTATGTGGAATACGACATTCATTTATGGCATGTGCTTATGTGTGTTCTACCTATATCTATCTATCGATCGATCTTTCGGACTGTCGATCGCGGGATCTGTCGATCGATTTGGGGGTTCATCCGTCGATTCGATTGATCCATCTGATCATCTACCTATCTTTCTTCTTCTTTCGTTCGAGTTATTGGTCTGTCGATGTATCGATTGATCGATCGATGTATCTGTTTATCTATCTGTCTATCTATCTATCTATCTATCTATCTGTCCATCCATGAATCAAGACTGCAAGAGCGCGCGCAGACATTACGGAATCAGCAGCGATATAAAGTGGCAAGTTGATAACCTTACAGCCAGTTCGGGTTGCAAGCTTGGCAGTGAGAGGCAACCAAACACCTGCAGCATAGGCAGCAGGTCCGAGATCAAGGGTAACAATGCCAAGGTTTCTTTCGTTGCTCCGATTCCTTCTGGTTGAACTTTTTCAGGTTTTAAGACAGTGCGCATGAGCTCACAGCACTCCCGCGTCCTGGGGCACAGTGATCCTTAAAAGGGGAGGTGTGCCAGGAAAAGCAGGGTTCCCGGTTTCCTGGTCGAGCTGGCCTGAAGTCGTGTTTCGGCCTTGGGATGTGCCAACCCCTGCCCAGGGCGGTGGCAGCGGCAAAGGAGAACCCGGATGGCCTTGTCCAGGCAAAACTAGGATTGACACTAAATCAGCCATGGGACTCGTGCTTGGCCTTTCTGGGGTTTACTTTGGGCGCAAGACATGCCAGGTTCTTGAAACTCGGTTTTTTGCAATCATCATTCGTTGGGCCGGCAATGCTTTGGCCAAGGTTTTTGGAACTTTGCCCACGATTTGAACTAGTACATGCACGGGGCTATAAGCCTTCGGGGAGTTGGTCGTTCAACATGCTGACGTGCATCTGCAACTTACAACCAGGCTCTCTGTGTTGAGTTTGAAATAGGACCGTATGCTCACATTCGTGCAAGGCAGCCACAGTTCTTGGAGCCATTTGCAACGGGTTCTGCCAGTGCCATAGCAAATGGATGCTAGCAGCTAGCAAAGGCCCAAGAAACGGGAAAACAACAAACACGACCGGTCTCGGATCCGTGCCGAGCCGTGTCTTGTGACCACGCGATGAAGATATACAAAAGTGTAGGAATGAGCCAATCTGAATAGAGTCTAGAGTCTAGAGGGCAGTTTTGCCTCCTGAAGTTTGATGGCTCCGACGTCTGATCTGCCTATGGTCCACAAGTGATAGCAGGGGCTATTAGGCACGCGGAAGACGCAAAACTGTGGAGTATCACTGCAGCAGGCCCTCTCGTCTGTCTCGTCTGAATCACATCAGTGTCAGCCACGGCTTTCGGGTCTGAGTGTACGAACTGCCGAAGTGATGGACTTGACATTGACCGAAAGGACTGCTTTGAAGTGACTCTATCGTATGCCTCTCACAGGGAGGGAAGCCGGCGATCAGAAAAGCTTGTCCAGCATCCGGCTATGCAAGATCAGCAACGTCAGCGCAGAATTGGAAGCGTAGAGTTCTCAAAGTTTGTTGAGAACCGTGGAGATTGGATTACCAGAAAAAAATTGGTGTTTGCCATGAGCGGTTCGAACGCATGCTCTCGTCAGGTGAGCGACAGTCCAGGCCGTGCAACCGTTCCATGTTTCCTCGGATTACCCGTACCTTCGAATTCGGGGATGAATGGCAAATGTTATGATTTGGAAAAGGCTGCTGATGGTCAGGGAATGGCGACTGTACTCGTAGTATTGGAAGGTAGGTTTACGAGCTGCTTTTGAATCCTCCCGAACATGTGATTGTTATTGACCGCTGCTGTACATAGATGTTGGACACATGTTGCCCCTTGGCTGTTTTGAATGTCCTGAAAGACATGTCTGCTGTTTGCCCAGAGTAGTGTGCGTCTCAGTGTGTTTCCGGTCTGTCCAGCTCTCATGCAAGACATACTTGTTCGCATGCACGTAGTGCTGGCTGCCCAAGGCACGTTTTTCGGATCAGTCAGTTTGCACAAACCAGGTCTGATAGATCTCAACTCACGCGCGGGTCCCAGACGTTTCAGATGCCTCGAACCTGCAGACGTGAGTGAACGAACGTTCGCTGGCCAAAGCAGATGCACGGGTACTGGCAGCTGCCAGGCCAGACAACACAGGGATTGCACAAATTAGGGCTTGGTCAGCTTGGTCTGCCTCAGCCAGAACACTTCTCAGAGTTTCAGATTCACTTGTCCGGCAACGTCCTGCCGCATAGGGCGCGTGGGTGTGGACTGAAGGGTGTAAGACTTGACTTTCTACGGTTGCTAGATGCTCCGCCTATGCTCGTCGTAATACCAAAACGGTCCTCCACGAGATGCACGCAACAGGAATCACAGGGCCACGTCTAGGTCGTATGACTCAGCCGTGCTGAACTTCAAGCCTTGGTGCACTTCGCCTTGAGGTGGTGCCGTCCGTCTGTGTCACAAGTGATTTTGACACCAAAACGGGAGACAATGTGGGATGCTATACGCACAGGCGCACCGGCACACACACACACAGACAGAAACATACACATGCTTATCTAATCCGACCTGCTTAAGTTGCTTACCTGCCTATGCACATACATGGACACATGCATTGGTTCATACATACACACCTACTGAGTAAACAGAACAACAAACGTCCACACATTCATCAGTACATGCATACATACTGTACATGCCTCCGTAAATGCCGTATACATGCCTCCGCAAATGCCGTAGATACATACGTACATACCGTGTACATACACATTTACATGCATAGACAATAGTATACACGCACACACCCATCCACACGTATGTATGCATATACGTATATAGATTTGTTCTGATGGGCAGTAAGCATCTAGATCTACCCGCTTGCTGCTATGACACTACACTCCAAATGCCCAGTGTGGTGCAGCCAGCTGTCTTTCATTAGCCGGATCGGCCGATTGTTCATTGGATGCTCCGCCCAAGGCCATCGTCAGCCGGTCATAGTGTGTCAGCCTCAGCCTTCTGCAAACTGTTTGCGCAGATCGAGCACCGATTCAACTGCAAGATGTCTCCAGAATCTGAGATGGTAGAGGGTATAACGAAAGGGTGGAGAGTTTTGTGGCATCTCTGTGGCCAAGCTGTGGGAGACTAAGCCGACTAAGCCTAAGTACACCTGGCAGCTTTTGGCACTGCTCGGCGTCCGTCAGGTTAGACATCGAAGATGCGCAGCAGACCCTCCAAGATCTTTCGACGGTGGGAGGTCAGCCGGATACATCAACCCAAGTCTTCGAGCCTGATGTTCCGTTTTGTGACTAGCAAGAATGCCGATGATGCCCGTGCCACTGCAAGATGTGTAAACTACGCAGCTCAAACGGATTTAGCTTCAAATCCAGTATTCAGTCGTGTTGGTGGTTGATGAAACAAGATTCTGCATCCCGCTGAGTGTCGGTCTGTTGCCGGTTCTGCACTGTGCTGCTGGCGCAGGCAGCCGAAAAGTTGAGACTCCGAAGGAGGCCTGCCAACAAGTACAGTACGATGCTCCGAGACCGACTATTGTTCGTTTGGTGCTAATTCGCCGGTGCTGGCTGTCGGCAGGGTGATCATCTGGTCCAAATTCGGCGCCGAGATAACGGACGTCTGCGTGGGAAGGTGGCAATCCGTGATTTGGTCAGCCAGCTCTCATGCATTTGTTTGCAACAGGGGTTTCGGCGATGAAGTCCAGGATGGGGCTTCTGAAGTGGACAGCATACCAGCAGGACAAATGAATCCAACAAGACCGGTGGGCGATGCAGCACGGTCAGTACAGCACTCCTTGAACCGGCCTCTTCCGGGATTTGTGATTCCATGGCCGCACAAGCCCAAGAGGATTTGTCTTTCAGTCTGGAAGTAGATTTTGTCGCTCGTTCTGAGTTCGAAGGCAGAGTTCTTGGAACCGAGTCCTTTTCCGAATGGAGGCCGAGCATCGAAGCAAGAGTGAGCACCGTACTGCTCTCAGAATGTCTGGAATCAAGCCAGCAAGAAGCCTTGAGAAAAAAGCCAGCACACAGGGCTTCAGGCTTGCGTGCCAGAGGATGTCGGCATGCCTGACCAATCAGACACAAGTTGAGTTGTGTTTTGCCCAAGCCGGTCATACTGTGCACCGGCCCTCGTCTTGGTTGCGAAGCGAGAACTTCAACGAAGTACCGTCATTCTTGATGGCTTCAACCTTGATTTGGTGAAGTCTAGATTCTAGATGCTACCGAGGCTCTGAATGTCACAAAATCGTAGTTTGTTGTGTCGGTCTTTGTTGAGACTCGCAGGAGTTGTCAATGTGCAGGCCTATCTAATTCATCGGTGGCGGGGACCACGAAAACCCCCACGGGTTCGCTTAATTCTACATATATATATATATGTACACATATGTGTGTATTATATGACGGTATGCATG